TGTGAGAGCAATGACTTTACATTGCTGAAGATTGCCTCTCTTTGGAATGGGTGAATGGAAGACAGCACGAGCACCAGAGAGTGACATCTCTTCTGGTAATCATGCATATGCTTTGTTTTTTGTGATGATTTCTCCCCAATTTTTATCTCTTCCTCACCTCTACAGAGAAACCTGAAGAACTGACCATTTTCTTAGGCAATGTGTTTCTTTCTATGGGAGTCTTGGTGTTTTCCTATAAGCATATCAGAGAAACTTTTTATGAATTAACACTCCTGTTTGTGAACATAGTTTTTTTTTCCATCTTAGCTTACATCTTTGGTGTAACTTAATCAAAAGTTATCTCTGTTGAGACAGCCCATCTCAAGCCTGTGCTTGTTGCACACTATGAGCTACCCGGTGTCACGTGGCATTGTTAGCACTGGTATTTAACTAGAAAAGGGGAGCAAAATGAACTAGACATTGAGCTTGCTAAAATGGGAAACATAAGCCTGCTGGTGGTCAAGAAGCTACAGCTTCACACCCCAGCAGATTATAGCATTGTGCTCTGCCAAGGCAATAAACACTCTTCCCTTCCCTCTTTGGTACTAGATTGTTAGGGGTCCAAGGGGAGGTGCTGGACCATAGAGGCTTGTCAGTCTAAAATTGTGGGATTTGAGCCTATCAAAGCCCACACGAGTTTGAGAAGTCGATTGGTCAGTTTGAGAAAGCACCTGGTCTGCCCGCAACCCAAGCTCCTGGTTATAACCCCAGGGGATCAAAGAAGCTCACTCACTTTCTCTCTCTCTCTCCCCCACTTGGTAACGCACTTGTCCCATGTTCTCTTGCATCTTCTTTCCATGGCCATGTGGCTGCGTGGCCTTAACAGCCACATGGCCAGCAACTACCTGGACTCTGCTATCAGAACACCCAGGAATGGGAACAAGTTCAACTACCTGAACGGGGACTGAGACTGCTGAGCAGCCACCGGTGGGCTCCAAAGGACTAAACTTTCACATGAAGCAGAAACTCTGGACACTGGCTTTTGTCTTGGTCTTGCTGAGGACACGGTTGGAATTTTTCTGTGGTGGTACACAGGGAAATGGGACATTCATTGGAAACCCATAGGGCAACTTCTGTCTCCACACAAATAAACCATGCCAAGCAACAGTCTCCCATGTGTGGGTCCTTGAAATGCTTTTTTCATGATTCTATGGAAGAATTTAATTTGCACTACCAACAGCATGGTCCAAATCGGGAGAATGACCCATTCCTCTTCAAAAGGAAATCATGGTCCATCTTGCTTAGTCCATGTCTTTCTTCACACATTTAAATTCCCTGTATGCTAACTTGGCTTTTAGACTTTTATTTTCTCTTTCCATTCATTCACTTTCCCCCTAGTGGTGGTTTGTCCCTTGGGATTTCTCTCTGATAGGGTTTGTCACTGCATTTGATTTGAAGAAAGCTAGTTTTGCATTTCTAATGCTCATTATTTACCAGTGAGAATCTCATTCAGCACTTCTTAAAATTGAACACTTTTACATTGTAGATTTAATATCAAAATTCTATTCTTTGCACCTTTAAAATGAGAATTTGTCATAGTTATTACATTAATTATTAGTCTTGAAATAGCTTTTATGCTGCTTCAATAAACAGAAAAATAGTAATGGATTGTTTTGGAATATATGACTTCAATGCCTTATCTAGTTGGTTCAATCTCTTTTTCTCCTCTCTCCTATTATCTTAAATTGTACTGCATATTCATGTTCCATTTTCTTAATTTGTAGGAGAAAGTAATTGCTAATGTGAGGGACAGCAGTATACGCTCTTGTGCCGTGTGCTTCCCCAGCTCTGCCACTAATTAGGAGATTGTGAAGAAGAAACAAGATTGGAATTTACTTGAATGTGTAAAAAGCATCTTGGTCCTAGAGAAATGAAAATAATCACAATAAAAGCAGTTACAGACAATATTGACACTTCTGTTAGAGACTTCATTACACTAGAAGACAAAGATTTATAGACTAAATAGAGGAAAAGAATAAACTTGAAAAGGTGAAGTTGATAGAGGATAAGAGGAAAACTAAACATGTGTAACAAAATGAAAACACTTTTAACAAGATGAGTGAGAGAGGCTAAAAAGTTTGTTCTTGGCTTCACCACAGAGACCTTCAGTGATCTTCTCAGGCATTTTCAACATGGTGAACTGCAGGTGTCATGAGATGGAGAGGTTAAGCCACAGATGAAGAAAGAGAAACATTTTTTCCTTAGCACTTTCTCATTCAACAAATATTTAACCCCTGCACTGTACCAGGCACAGTGGAAGCTCTATGCAAATAATGGCAAACAACTTCTCTCTGCCTTTAATAAGCTTAAACTGTGGAAAAATGTGTTTAAATGCTGATGGCAAAAAATAAGAAGTAACAGTCAAAAATATGTTCAGAGAAGATATAATTGATAGTGGAGTGAAAGCATTAAGATCCAAGGTGGAAGAACAGTTATTTCTGAGCTGAGTGAGGCCAGGCTAGGAAGAGGAGTATCTAGGTCTTACTTACCATAGTCTTTCTAAAAAAAGAAATCTCATCACTGCTGGTTTATACAGGACATGTGATTACAGGGTTGGAGGAGAAGATAAGCTAACATTGCATGCTTTCTGCTGAGAAAAGTTACTGTAAAAATAGTTAGCCGTTTCCTCCTGCCAACGTTGTCTACAGCAGCTATTTTAGTTCACGTTAACCTTGAAAATATTTATGTAATTATTTTTTAAATATTTATTTATTTATTTCAGAGGCAAGGGCAGGGAGACAGTGAGAGAAACATCAATGTGAGAAACATCCATCAGTTGCCTCTCATAAGCATCCCCACCACCACCAGCACCAAACCTGCAACCTAGGCATGCACCTTGACCACAATCAAACTGGTGATCTTTTTTGCTTTGAGAGATGATCAGCCAACTGAGCCGCACTGGTCAGGGCTCTGTAATGCCTTATTATTGTTTTGCACTAGGTGGTTTTATCACCAGAAATGGGACCTAGCCCTGACTGGGTCTGCCTAGAGCTAGCCAGTAGTGTGTGAGTTCTTGACTTCATGCAAAAAAGATCTCATAACATGAGTCCAGGTGATTTTTGAGAGTACATTTACTCAAGTCCAGGACTGTGAAACAAGGAAGGACTCAGAGACAGAAGCAGCAACGGGAGAGCCACGGAAGCAGCCGCAGGAGAACCTAAGAGGCGCTGACTTGGCTCTCTGGTAATGTTATAGGAAAGGAATGAGCCTTGGTGGTGCTGCGTTAGCTCACTGGGAAGTCAGAGAAAAAGCGGGCTTTGGGGACAGGTTCAGGGGTCAGCTCTGGATGAGCTGCCACTGCCCAGTGCTCCCTCGTTGCAAGTTTCATGGGGCCCCTTAGGGTTTAAGAGTTGCACACCTGTGGGAGAAGTAGAAGGGAAAGTAAAACTTGTGGGCATACTCCTAGGAGGGAGAGCATAACCTGGGTCCTTCTTTTTGAGGGTTTTTAAAGTATAGAGGTTTAGGGGAGGTCTTGGGGAGGATCTTAATGAAATATTTATCAGTTTTATGCTGATATGCTAAAATGGGATTTATTTCCTTAACTTCATCTGTCCTTGTGGGCACGGTTGCCAAAATGGCACTAATTGGATTTCTGTTGTCTCCCTGAGTAGGGTGACTTAAGCTATTTACCCTCTGGTAGGGGAGAACTGTAAAATTTACTCTTAAGTGTTCTTGGTTACAGAAGATAGGATTCGGCGATTTACTAGATGGCCACAAACTGCCTAGCTATTTGTCCATTTCCCCATTCTGCTTGTCTTGGCTTCCTAGCCTGTCTCGATTTCACTGAAATAGAATGATCAGAATCATGAATTGTACATTAGCGGGGGGTTCACATTTAACAGTACCTTGTTCAAATTTATGACAGAGAGCTTAACCAAGACAGGAATGTGAAGGGTTAGAGGGCCTCTCACATCCTGTGTCAGTAGGGAATGACACAGAATTCCCCACACACACACACACAAAAAAAAAACTATGGTTTTAACTGAACTTTATGGTGTTGCGCCCCTTCCCACCTCCAACTTCCTTTTCCCCTATATCAAAGAGCTTATTATCTGGCTCTCTTCTTGCAAGTGGCCTGTCATGGATGCAGGTACTGAGTTTTAATCCTTCCTCCCCCACCCCTCAATAAGTCCTTTTTGCTGAAGGAATACCTGGGTTACTTTTTGTTTGCAGTGAACAATATCTCATTAGTTATACCATAGATCATATTCCTATAAACCAGTTAAGATGTTAATCAAAACTGTCCAAAAAGAGACCACTCACTCCTGGAACTATTTCTTTATAGAATGTGTATCTGGGTCATTGCTGGGGGAGTGGAGGTAGAAATGGAGGTTAGAAATGCTCTGCTCACCAGAACTTCCAGTCTACCAAAACAAAATCTCAAATCCCTCCCTGGTTTTGGAATAGTCTCAGTTGGTCACAGAATTTATTAATTATTTTGAGAGATGAATGGAGGAGAGAAACATCAAGTTGTTATTCTACTTATTCATGCATTCATTGGTTAATTACTGCGCGGGGCCCAGACTGGGAGATCAAAGTCAACTAGGGTACACAGGATTTAGAAATCAGCTCCCGCCTTCCCCTGCTGGTGCTCCGGCCCTAACCGCAAGGAAACTGATAGAAGGCGGGGTTAAGGGGAGGGAAGAGAATTCGGGGTGGACACTGTACCATTATCCACCACCTCCTTGGCAACGCACATTTTATTATTTTTTTATTCCTTTAAAATCACAAGGCATTAGACATAGAAAGCCATCCCCGCTACATCTTCTGCAGGTCAGGGAAGAAATCGCTCTTCAGCGCTAGCGGCGGTGTGCGCATGCGTGGAACCGCGCCACCAGCGCGCGCGTGACGTCACAGGCGCGCCCATCTGAATATTTAGTTTTGCCGGAGAGCGCGGTGAGTAAATTTCATAAGAGGTTTGGGGTTTGTTCCCCGGTACAAGGTGGGCTGGGCCTGAACTGTTACAACGAGGCTGACTTAGTTTAGAACAATATTTCATGTAGTTAATGAGTGTCCCTATCGTGAGCCAGCCGTGTTCAGCTTTTTGCTTAGCGTTTTGGGAGCTGCTTAGTTGAGTTAATCTAAGCCCCCGCCCTAACGGATCTCTCTAAACCCCCTAATCCTAACGGATTAGTGCGCACATATTGAAATTAAGTATTGACACTCGTGGATGTCCTAGTCAAGAGTTTTGAGAAGGAAGATTGAACCTACAGTGCGCAAATTAACGTCAGGTTAGTAGTCGTTTTTTTTCCAGTGTATAGAGGCTGAAGGGAAGAGGCAACATACATTTTGTAGTAATTTGCTTTTGGTGGACAGTTTGCGTACACGATATTAGAATTTTCAAAAGGATTGAAAAAACGAAACCAAAACTCTTAGACCCGTCTTCCTTTTCCCAGTAGCTTGAACATTTTAAAGCTCAGTGGTAAGCCTATTCTTAGCTATTTTCACAGACCCTAAAACTGACTTTCAGGGGTACTTTTTAAAAATACAAAACTAAATAGAAGAGGATTAGATTTCAGTGCTGCAGGATAATGCGTATATTGATCATTTTAATAAAATTATAGCAAAATCCATTTTCCTGCCCTCGCACCCAACAGTGATAACTAACTTAAGGGAAAAGTAAAAAAAAACTAAGTCAAAAGGAAATTATTGACTACATTTTGTATAAAACAAGGTGTGTTTTCAGCAGCAAGATATCAACTTCCATGATTGAATTTGCACAGCACTGGAAAGCAGATCTGATATGCCACTTGAATTAATAAAAGAAGTCAATGGGGTGCCTGAAATTGAGCCTCTAAAAAAACTGCACAAAGTAGACTTCAGATCTCTTCAGCTTGGTTGTGATTATAGCAAGAAATATATTCAGGTAAGAATTTTCATAACTCAGAAAAGTTATGTTTTGTTTTTAGCAGATAGGCTACCACATGCCTAGGTTGGTTTTTCTTTTAGTTTCTTCTGCTTTTTGGTAATTGAGCTACTTGGATCCGTAAATCAATGTTTTCATCCAACTTAGGGAAAGTATTTACTGATGTTCCATGGAATTTTCCCCTCCCACATTATCACTCTTCTCCTTGGTGTCTGTTACATGTATGTTTGTATGTTAGGTTCTTTGCTAATGCATGGCAGGTCTCCAAAATGCTATTCCTTTTTCTTCAGTATTGTTTTCTTTTTTTGGTGGAGAGAGATTTTTAGATTGTTTTCTGTCCATCTGCCTTCAGATCAATAGAACTTTTTTCTGCAATATCCAATATTCTGTTATGCACACTTAGTGAATTTTTCATTTTCATTGTTGTACATTTAAATTAGGGACTAAGGAGAGAATGAGGGAGGTGAGAGGCTTATTGGTACAGTGAGTTCCAGAGTAAAAAGAAAAGAAATACTGCTACATCTATGGCCCTTCTGATCAATATTCATTTGTTTATCTTGTGTGCTTCTGTTTATTTTCCATTCTCCTAGGTATTTTATTCCAGATGAAATAAAGTTTTATGTATTAGTGCTCTTCTGTTTTCCCCTTCCAGCTGCAGTGGGTTTTCACCAAAGCTCTAATATTCATACATCTGTTGACCTTCTGCCAGCAAATAGCAACTCGATTCTGAAAGAAAAATAGGGAAGAAAGATCCAGGCAGGGATTCTTTCCTTCTCTGCACTAACTGCTACCTCCCCACCCCACCCCCAACTCTTGTACTGCTCCCAGCCTGGATCTTGACAGGTTTGTGGAGAAGAGCTTATAAGTCGATGTGAATCCTCATGTGTTTGCAGCTCCCAGAGTTTCCATTTTTTTTACTGGCCTATACTTGGCTTTTAGCGACTCATTAAAATGTTACATGAATTTTTCTCCCAGATGTCAGGCAGCATTTGCCATTTACCTCAGGTGAGCATGTGTTTACTGCCTATCTCTCATTGGAGATCTCTTTGCTTGGGTTTCTGGCTAGTTGTTGACCTCAGATCACTTGCCTCCCATCTCTCATTGGAGGTACTACTCTTTCCTTAGGCTTTTAGTTATTTGGTTTCCTTCTGACTTCAGCTCTGGTGGGCCAAGAAAAATTCTGAATTTGGGCATCATCCAACTTTTTCTTGTTCTTTGCAGCTTCCTACCTCCTTAGTGGAACCATTTACTTTGGACTGAGTCATTATGTACAGCTGGCAGTCATTTTATCCCTGATTTCCATTTTTTAAATAAAATTGATTACGAACATAGCTGTTTTTGTTGTTGGCTGTATCAAAGTCTGAAATATTAGTTTGAGAGATATACATTATAAGATCTATTTTTAAACTTCATTAAAATTTATTTCTGTGTGGAAGTTTTCAAAGAGCCCTATATTATATTTGCTCATAGAATCATTAAATTTTAGAGCCAGAAGAAATTATAGAAACTATCCAGATTAAATATTTTTTCTGAGACTCTGATTAAATAACTTTTTTGGCTGACAGAGTTGGTTAGTTACAGAAGCAGAAAAAGACTAAACTGTATTTGTGCCTTAGTCCATTGATTTGTCTACATTACTCTTATTTATGAGATTATAATTTTGTACTTAAAATTTTTTTCTAACTTAATATTGTAGAAGCAAACTCTTAATTTTTTTTTTAGTAGAGAACAGTTTTACAGGCTAAAATAAAGCTGAAGTTGAGCTAGTTTATATATAAATGAGGGATTGATAATATTTAACACACAAGGTTGTTTAAGAAATTAAATAAGAACCTGAAGTATTTTCAGGCCTCTCATTTTTCTCTAGATAAATCACTTTCATGTATTAAAGGTACTAATTTGAGCATAGTACTTCAGTTTTTTGAAAGATCAAAGGCAGTTACCTTAAAAAATTATTCCAGTTTTTACTTACATCTTGGTGTTATGAGAAGCTCTTTTGGTCCTTCTGTATCATTCTTGTTCTCTTATTTCAGGGAAAACTTTCACATGTCTCTTCTTTAACTTATGGTGGAAACAGAACACCTATTTTGAAGATTGGACTACAAGGTAATAAGACCATTTCTGTTTAACTTTTTGCCTATAATCTACAAATGGGTAACTTTGTATGTAAATATACACATATACATAAATGCACACAAAAGCACAGTTTTGTTTATACAGTGATATAATTGAGTCTTAACATTCAGCCCACCTGCAGGGGTTGTAGAAGATTCTGGAGAATGAAGATTATGGAGATTTTTTCCCCCAAAGTCTAGATGATCCAAAGGAGGTTACTTGTAAATTGTTCATTTCTGTGCCTGAGTAATTTTCATTTTCAAAATTACGTGTAGCTGGGTCTTTACACACACAGCTCTCTTACTCTTTGGTATATGGGAGCTGGCAGAGATGGCCACACTTGTCTACATTAAAAACATTACACCAGTAATTGTCAATTACTACAAGTTCAGTAAAAATGAAATATTTGCAAGGTAATAATGTCATATAAAACTGAGTAATTAAATCTTTGTTCAGTTTCTTTTAATTATAAAAATGGGGGGGAAGAATGTGGTCATTAAATGATGTTAATGTGATATTTATAGAAATTTATAAAGCGTATATTAGTTGAAACTTGTTGTAATTTTGGTTTTTATTCCCAGTAGTATTCTGTTCATTGTTTTTAAAATTAAATTATTATAGCAAGCTAAAAGTGAATTATAAACATTTTAATTTTTTATAAATACATTTTGAAGTAACTATTGTTTTTAGAATGCAGGTGCTATCAGTTTTCTTGTGTGTATAAAACTGCTGTATCTGATAACTTTTTCCGTGTGTATGTCTCTTTTTCTCTAGAACAAGAAAATTCAGATTCGGAAAGTAACACCGTCAGTGTATTATTTTTTGGAAAATTAGCAAAGGACTGTGCAAAAGTTTTCTCTGAAGGGGTAAAATATTTTCTTATTTATTGTTTTAGAAGGAGATTTAGGATTATTGTTGATTCTGTGTTCATCCTGTAGATCTTTTTTTTTTAGAGATTCATTATATATTTTCAGGCATGTAAAAAATGATACTTAAAGAACCAGCATCTTTAAAATTGTAGCAAGCCTAAGATCAGTAATACTTAACATAAAAAAGGCCAATTTGGCCCCTCACTTCATTTTAATTTTTAGCATTCAATAGAATGTCTTAAAGACATGAACACTTTCCCTCAGTTAAAAAATTCTTAATGAATAATACGAGCTATAACCTTCTTGCTATGCTTGTAATATTTTTTATACTTGTTTTAAAAATACATGCCTGTTAAATCCTCATGAAAATGCTACCAAACCTAATCCAGCACCATATTATAGGAGTAGACACCATGACCAAGATTTATCTTAGGAGTGCAAGATAAGAAAATTGATCATTACAGTACGTGCATTGCAGTACATGCAGTACATGGAAAGACGTGCATTCTCCTGGGTAGGAAGACTTAATATTGCTATCAATACTACCCGAAGTGATCTATGGATTCAGTGCAATTTCTATAAAAATATCAGTGACCTTTTTGCAGAAATGGAAAGTTGATTCTCAGAGACATAATGAATTTCAAGTGGCCCTGAATTCCAAAATATTCTGGAAAAAAAACAACTAAATCAGGGGCCTCATGCTTCATGATTTTAAGACTTACTACAATGATACTCTAATCAGTATGGAAAGGGCATAAGCACAGACATGTATACCAATGGAATAGAAATTAGAGTCAAGAAATAGACACACATATATATGGGCAGTTGATTTTTGACAAAGGGTGCCAAGTCTACTCAAAGTGAAATTATACAGGCACTGTGGAAAACAGTTTGATTAGTCTTCAAAAAGTTAAACAGAATTATGGTATAACCCAGTAATCCCACAGCTAGGTATCTACCCTGAAGAACTGAAAATAGGGACTCGGGTGTTTGTATGCTAATATTCATTGTAGCATTATTCACAATAGCATAAAGGTGGAAAAAACCAACTGTTTATCAGTGAATGAATAGATAATGTGATATATACGTATAATGAAATCTTATTCAGCCCTCAAAAGGAATGAAGTTTTAATACTTGCTACATCATAGATGACCCTGAGACCATACTGAGTAAAATAAGCCAGACACAAGAGGAGAACTATTGTATGATTCCACTTACATGAATATGTGGAATAGGCAAATTCACAGAGACGGAAAATAAATAGAATGAGGAATTATTGCTTAATGGTTAAAAGAGTTTCTATTTGGGATGATAAAAAGTTTTGGAAATAGTGGTAATGATTGCAAAACATTGTGATAATGCTACTGAATTACAACCTTAAAAATGGTTAAAATGGCAAGTTTTACATTATTTATATTTTGCCTCAATAAAAATAGATACATGGCTGCTATGTGATATTTGGGCAATACAGATACATAACAGAAAATGAGAATCCCTTGTGATCTGAGACCTCTAGAGCAGCAATTCCCATAGAACCATCTGCTAGGAGGGAAAGGTACTAGGTCTGCATTGGCAGTATGGTAGCCGCTCATCATGTTTGGCTAAGGGGCATTTGTTTGGCTAAGTGGCGTTTGAAATGTGGCTAGTACAGACCAGGAACTGACTTTTAAACTTCATATTGTTTCAATTATTTTAATTTAATATTGTATTGGACAGCACATCTCCAGAGATTGACCACTGTTTGATGTATAATCTTACGTATTTTTTCTGCACATGTACTTAAAATAATTTAATTTTCTTTAAGAATCATATGAGATTTTTGATGTTCATTGCAAATTCCCTAGTATTTGGAAAACTAGATTTGGCAGTCAACTAATACTGTCATGAAACATGCAGCTATTAAATACATTGTTGAATTTGCAAGGAGTTCTTCACATAAGTTGTTTAGAGCTAGACAGTCCTTTTAAAGTAGTTTTGTAGGACTATTAGGAATATAATTTTAATCCTTTTTGATTTATGCTTATTACCAATAAGTAAATAACATACTGAAAAAATGGTTTCTTTAAAACCACAGTTAAATGAGATTCTCTGTTCTCAGTCTTTTAAAAAATTTATATTTATTTAAGTTTAGTAAACATTTCTTAAGGGTTGACTTTATGCTAGATATCATGTTAGGCTCTGATGAAACCAGAATAAATAAGACTCAGTGCTTGGCCTTAAGGAACCCACTGTCTCTAGTCTAATGGAAAGTCATTTAATGGTGATAACTAAGATAGAACTATGACAGCAGCCTCAGTCAACAAAATCTGCCTGGAGAATTTAGAGGAAAATATCAAGTAGTGGGCAACTTTTTTTTTTTTAATCTTTAGAGGGGAAGGGTAGGAGAGAGGGAGAGAAATATCAGTGTATGGTTGCCTCTTGTGCATCCCCTGCTGGGAACTGGCCTGCAACTCAGGCATGTGCCCTGAGTGGGAATCGAACCTCGATCCTCTGGTTTGCAGGCCCCAATCCACTGAGCTATGCCAGCCAGGATGCAACTTGTTTTTTAGTGGAACGTTTTATTTTTAAGCTATTTATTATACACCTCCTTCTTAGACACTCCTTAGAGAAGTGTCTGTTGGGGTCTTTTGCCCATTTTTTAATTAGGTTGTTTGTCTTCCTAGTATTGAGTTGTGTGAGTTTTTTATATTTTTTGGAGATTAAACCCTTGTTTAAGGTATCATTTGCAAATATATTTTCCCATATGGTTGGTTTCCTTTGCATTTTGCTGATGTTTTCTTTAGTCATGGAGAAGCTTTTTATTTAGATGAAATCCCATTTGTTTATTCTTTCCTTTATGACCCTTGCTCTAGGGTACATATCATTAAAAATATTGCTGTATGGAATATCTGTGATTTTCCTCCTGTGTTCTCTAGGACTTTTATGGTGTCGTGATTTACATACATTTAAATCTTTTATCCACCTTGAGTTTATTTTTGTGTGTGATGTAAGTTGGTGGTTGAGTTTCATTTTTTTGCATGATCTCCCAATACCATTTGTTGAAGAGGCTATTTTTACTACATTTTATGCTTCTGCTTCCTTTGTCAAATATTAATTGTCAATAGAAACTTGTGTTTATTTCTGGGCTCTCTGTTCTGTTTCACTGATCTGTGTGTCTATTCTTATGTCAGTACCAGACTATTTTGATTAGAGTGGCCTTGTAATATAGTTTGATATCAAATATTGTGATCCCTCCTACTTTGTTCTTTCTCAAAATTGCTGAGGCTATTCGGGGTCATGTATGTTTCCATACAAATTTTTGAAGTGTTCTATATCTGTGGAACATGTCATTGGTATTTTAATTGGGGTTACATTGAATCTGTAAATTGCTTTGAGTAATATGGACATTTTGATTATGTTAATTTTTCCAATCCATGAACATGGTGTAGACTTCCATTTATTTGTGTGTTCCTTAATTTTTCTTCATTGTTGTATAGTTTTCTGAGTTTTCTGGCTTTTTACCTCCTTGGTTAGGTTTATTCCAGGGTACTTTGTTTTTCTTGTTGCTATATCAAATTATCAAATGGGATTATTTCCTGATTTCTGTTTCTGATATTTCATTGTTGGTGTAAAAAAACTGCTTCTGGTTTCTGAGTATTGACTTTGAATCCTGCTGTTTTGCCAAATTCACTTATTAGGTCAAGTAGTTTTTGGTGGCATCTATAGGGTTTTCTATGTACATTATCATGTCATCTGCAAACAGTGACAGTTTACTTCATCCTTTCCAATTTGGATGCCTTTTATTTCTTTTTCTTGTCTGATTGCGATGGCTAGGACTTCCAATACTATGTTGAATAGAAGTGGTAAAAGCAGACAACCGTGTCTTGTTCCTGATCTCAGTTGGAAAGCTTTTAGCTTTTGTCTGTTCAGTATGATGTTGGCTGTAGGTTTCTCATAGATGTATTATGTTGACATATTCTCCTACTCACAGTTTGCTGAGTGTTTTCATTACAGATGGGTGATGTACATTATCAGAAGCTTTTTCTGCATCGATTGAGAAGGTCATGGGATTTTTGTCTTTCCTTTGCTTATGTGATATATTATGTTTATTGATTAGCAGATATCGTACCATCCTTACATCCCTGGGATTAATTTCACTTGGTCCTGGTGTATGATCTTTTAAATGTATTGTGGGGTGAGGTTTGCCAATATTTTGTTGAGAATTTTAGCATCTGTAGTCATCAGTGGTATTGACCTATAGTTTTCTTTCTTTGTTGTATCTTTATCTGGTTTTGGGGATTAGGATGATGCTGCCTTCATAAAAAGAATTTGGGAGTCTTTCCTCTCCTTGGATTTCTTGGAATAGTCTGAGAAGGATAGGGGTTAGCTCTTCCTTAAATGTTTTGTAAAATTATCCTATGAAACCGTCCAGTCCAGTTCAGGGTTTCTGTATGCTGAGAGTTTTTTGATTACTGCTTTAATTTTACCAGCTGTTATAGATTTGCTTAGGCTTTCTGCTGCTTCTTTGAGTTTTGGAAGGTTATATTTTCCTAGAAATTTGTCCATTTCACCCAGGTTTTCAAATTTCGTGGTATATAGTTCTTCATAGTAATTTCTTACAGTCCTTTGTGTCTCTGTGGTATCAGTTATAATCTCTTTTATTTCTGATTTTATTTTGGGGGTCTTCTTTTTTTCTTGATGAGTCTGTTTAAAGGCTTGTTGATTTTGTTTATCTTTTGAAAGAGCCAGCTTCTGGATTTATTGATCCTTTGAATTGTTCTTTTAGTCTCTGCGTTGTTTAATTCTGCTGTGATCCTGGTTATTTTCTTCCTTCTACTTACTCTGGGATTTGTTGTTCTTCCAGTTCTTGTAGATGTTGGGTTGTTGTTGTAGTTTTTTTTAAATCTGTTTTTATCTTTTCTGAGTAGGGCCCTGTATTGCTATGAACTTCCCTCTCAGGACTGCCTTCGCTGTGTCCCATAAGTTTTGGACTGTTGTGTGTTCATTGTCCTTTGTT